GCCAAAAAAAATTATATTCAGACATTGATCGTCAGGGTACTAGCATCCTATCACTAATATCCCTTTTAGTAGAGGAGAAAAGAATTCGTATTAGAATCAATTCTTTATTTAATGTTATAGAGCTTTCACAAGAAAAATGGCAACAAAATTTGTCAACGATGCGATGCTTGTGGTAATACACTTGCAATTAGCATGGATTCTCATAAGTTAACGACGTTTATTTCAAAAAATTGTTTGCAAGAAAACGGAAATAATGAGGGTCATAATTCACCAGAGAGCATTCCAACTGAACAAGGTGCAACAGTAAGTCGATTGAACTCAAATGTGTAGCATTCCATTTCAATTGTCTAGAATAATGCCAATGATGATGATGATGGGAATGAAGATTGGGGTGATGACTTAGCATCAAATATCACTAATTCGGACATTCATGTCAAAAGTATGATTCAATCAGAAGATTTCGATAATCTGGTTCACGAATATTGTGAACAATTCATATCTTTATTGAAAGTTAGTTCACTATTGAATTCATTAAAATGAATATTTTGCTTATTGTGTATCTAGAAAAAAAAATTGGCCAATCAATTAAATGATCCTCTTTCAATTCAAGAATTGATCATTGAAGCTGAACGATTGAAAATACTCGAAAAAGTCCCATTCTTTGTTCCGGAATGTTTATTTACAGATCAAATTGTCAAAGAAATTGAAGTATATAAAATGCTGCTTCAGAAAGTATGTTTTCAATTTATTGCGTCGCCTGTTTTTTTTAAATTTAACCGATCTATTCAACAGCTGTGTGCAAAGAATATCAAAGGACAAAAATATCTGTTGCATGGACTAGAAACAATCATCGGTACGAACAATGAAATACGAGCCAAATTATTCAACACAAAAGGAATGTCCAAAATTCTTCTTAAACTTTATGAAGAAGACATCATTGTAGAAGAAGTTTTTTATGAATGGTATAAAAAGGTAAAACTAATTAGAATGATTGATTTTCTATTTACTAATATTGATGATTATTGTTTAGGCATCGAAACGACTCGTTGATAAAGCAATATCAGAAGATATTCGAAAGTATGCCAAGGAATTCATCGAATGGTTACGCACAGCTGAAGAATCGAGTGATGAAGAAGTCGATGAAGTCTCCAGTCTTCGATCACCAAGCAAAAATGATCTTGGACACTAGAGAACTCACATATATCTTCAGAAGTGCTCGAAAATCCTCATAATATCAGCGGTGTGTGTAAATGTGTGACAGAATTTCATTAATATCCAAGATACCTGAATAAAATGACCCGCTCATTGAAAAACTGTGATCAAAGCTCTCTTTCTCTGTATAGTTGCGCGTTTGTGTTACAAAAGAAATGAAATCCTTTTGTTGTCCTCCAAATCACAGACAATATGTTCTTTGTATTTTTACACAACGAATTGCTTGTTTTCTGTGCGGGTGAGGGTGAGATAGAGCTGCTAAAACATGTTTGTGTGGGTGTGGGTGTAAAAGCAGAGTAGACCAACAACCACGTCCACACTTACACCCACACCCATACCCATACCCTTACCTTATACAAGCAGACAAGTTTACATGCAAACGTATTTTTAATTATCTTGATATTATTTATCGATCTATTTATTGGTATTTAATTTAAAAAATGAAAATAAGTCACTATCATTGTTCATTGTGAGTCATTTTTTGTTCTGGTGATTGTGCAATACTTGATATATTTTAGTCATTACAGGTTATCGCTTCAATTACTTCTTTTAAAACAACCATAATATTTTCATTATTTAAAGATTTTGCACTTCTTCTCGACAGGTGAGTATAGTTTATTTTGATTTCTGATCAAGATCAAAAATATGATTCTTTGAATTTCAAAAAGATATGTATGTTGACAACAAAGTTATTCGTAGTTTGTTTATTCTGCAAGACATGTTTCTTAATTTTGGTCAGTCGAACTGTTAAAACTATTGAAATACGTATTTCGAAAAATCGCTAGTATCATTTCAATATCGAAGATTATTAAGTAGTACTCTTTATGTATTAATCTTATTAGATTTTTTTTAGCGCATATCTATATAATTACTAAAGTTTGCCATTCTATTTACTTTAGATATTTCATTTTTATAATGACAGATGCAAATTTGAATGAGAATTTTTTTAAGAAGACGATGAGAAGTAATATTTTCTTATTTGACAAATGGAATCTTGACAATAGTCGTATTTCTGACATGTCACTCGAAGTTTGTTTTGAACTTATTGTAGACACCATTGTTGATAACAAAAAGAAAATATTTGTTCCACATGCAAATGCTCATTCTCATGGAAAATAATTTCATCAAGCTACTTGACCAATTGTCGAACGTTTAGTATGTGTTCTAATGTTTCATGGACGAAATAGCGCCAAAAAGATAATGACTATGCGTGTCGTTGAAGACGCTTTTTATATAATTTACCAACGAACAGGAGAAGTTAATATAGAATAAGAGAAAAGTGATGTTGTTTTACAGTTATTTTTAAAATATAGAATCCAGTTCAAATACTTATCGATGCCGTTATCAATAGTAGAGCACGTCAAAATTTAATACGTATGGATCATCTTGGTCTTAACAGAGGAGAGACTATAGACACATCACCTTTACAAAGAATCAATCAACCAGTCTCTTCGCTTTGCACAGGTATGCTTTATCATTTTATTCTTTATTCGTATTTAGAAAAAGCTTTTATAATCAAACAGTTTTTCAAAGAACACAAATATTTATATGAATTATGTATAATTTAAGTTTTATGAAAAGATTTGCAAATTTTAATGAATAAAATAAACATGAAATGAAATCTCGATTATAAAAAAAATCACAAGACGATCACGTTCATTTTATACTTGAATGATATTTATTATAGGCGCTCGAAATTCATCATTCAAATCAATAAAAACAATTAGTGAATGTCTTGCTGATGAACTTATTAATGCTTCTAAAGTAGGTTTTTATGATAAAAAAACTATTGAATTGAACTACAAATGCATATCTTATATATTTTTAGCAATCATATCTTTCATTTGCTGTGAGACGAAAGGATCAACTCGAAGGTGTGCAAAGACAGTATGATTAAACTTTTTTCGTAGATTGTCTTAAAATGTTAAATAAAAAAAACAGACGAAACTGGCACAAAGACACTTCTCTATGAAATAAATTGTTTTATACTCAAATAAATACAAATTTCCATATCTTATACCAGAAAAAGATGATACATCATCTATCAAATATGATCGAAACTATCGACTTCTCTGGTAATTTTAGTCAATAAATGTGAATTTTTTTTGTCGTAGGAGGCATTTTTTTATGGTATGAACTAGAATGATAATGATTGACAAATGAGAACTAACTCTTATCTATTCTTTATATAACCAATATAAGAAAAAAAAGAAAATAAGTTTTTCTATTGTCAATATTAGTGACTTATTTTCATTTTGATTGATAATAAAGTAGAATCAAGATGTATGGATGTCCTTACTTTAGCTACAAATCAAACGACATATTGATTTGTAGGTAATTTTATGTCGGGTTTTGTGATTAACAAGATCTGATGTTGAATGCAAGAAAGAGGAGAACATTTGAATATATAAAGTAATTCTATAATACTTTATGGAGTACCTCTTAGTTTCCAACAGTGAACACAAGTTACCAAAAGAAAAATCTAGCGTTTTTTCTCTCAATTTCTTTATTCTATGGCTTCAGTTAGGTTTTTGCAGTAAGAAAAAATTTTCTGACTAGTAAAAATTATCATGGCATATGTCGCAGCCATACAGTCCTCATTATCACATATTTCTCGTAAGGTATTCTTACTTCGTTCATTTCATCTGTATTCATAAGAGCTAAATGATTTACTTATATTTATATTTTAACATAACGCTGCCACCTGACCATAGATGCCGCATGAACGTATGTACTTAAGACACGTAGTAGAAGTTACAGTTGTATGGATTTCGAATCAAGCCGTTCTTAAAAATATTGAACCTTCGAATTTTTATTGTTTTTTTTCATGGACTTGCTCTTTTAACCATACACATTAAAGTTCATAGAAGATTTTAATTACTTCGAACCATGCTACACTCAAAAAATTTCCTCCAGAATAAAAAACCTAAGCTCCGTTGCTCTAGAAAGTTAAAAGAGAAATCTATTCTTATCCAATAAATTAAAATTATAACCAAGACAATATGCACCAATATTTTTCCATCCTCTACCTTCATAAATTTGTTTTTGATCATCATTTTTATTACACAGAACAAAATTTAAACCAATACCAGACCAATATTGTATATTCATTTGATAATCTTGGATTCCTTTTATTTGTGTAATACAATCTTGTTGATTCATAAACGAATTCACATGTTCTATTTGGTGTATACGACAATATGTATAACCGGTGATGTTAAATTATTACTACTTATATAACGACGTGCATTCCATCTAGATCGTTTTAATATATTGGGGCAATCTATAAGAAGTGAACATCAAGTATGTCTATTTTGTACTTGTTCAACAAAGAAAAGAATCTTTAGTATTTTTTTGCAAAGAATAGTTTACTCTAAATCTATTAAGTTTTATTAATCTATTAACTGAGAAATCGTCTATATACGCTTCCTTGAAGTCTATGAAATATAGAATTAGTGATTTAACTGGACAACCCTAAATCAAACTTAGTGGATCTAATTGTCAAGAAGGAAAGAGTGAATTTTAATTAATATGTTTAAAAGCCAAAACTCACATATTTCAGTGCAATTAGAAGAGATTTCGTATTTTAACTGGTTAGAACCTTTTCTGGCAAGCTTTTTTTTGTTATCTCAGTTTTACCTAGTGGTAATGAATTGTTGCCCTCATTATCGTTTTCTGTAGTAGTTGTTTCTTTTTAATAATAAAAATAAAAATGAATGTAAAAGTTAAAGTCAAAGAAATAGCAAACATCAAAAATTCAATGATGACATAAAGACGACATTTTCGTTGTTTTTATTTTTGATACTTTTCGACATACATGAAGAAAAGCATCTTACTTTCTGCTTGATTTTGATTATCATTTGGATCTTCACATTCTTCTAATTCAATTTCAATTGAAATTGATGCTGTTGGATCATCAAGATAATTTCGTTTAATTGCTATTACTTTAAAAACAATAAACGAAAGAATTAAGATTTCTTTTTCATCCGATTTCGTTGATAAACTTTGTATATCGATAGCTGTTGAATTTTGTTTTATTGAATATTGACATAAACATGAATATTGTAATGCACAATGATCTTTCGAAGTATATTTCAGCCACCTGACGAACAATAGATGTTGATTTGAAAGATATTGATCTAAATCATTTTGTGTTATTCTCATACCACGATAACATATATCTTGATATCGATATTGAAGTAAATTTGGATGATAAATTAAGAGTGTAACAATATGAACAAGACAACTGATAAGACGATAATTTGATGAAAAGTCTTTTTTTTTATCGAAGTATTGTAATATATATAAAGCCAAATGTTTATTTAATTTGTTAATGTATAAGCTTTTATAAAATATGTTAAATAATCTTGTTTTTCTATAGCTTCTTTAAAATATGCTTCGATAGTTTCAATTTGTTGACAAATAATTTGATCTTCCGGATTGCCAGTAGTTGAATTTTGAGTTTTATTTATAATATTTATATTACCAATACATGGTAGAATACTTCGAACTTGTTCTATTTTATTTTCTTTACATAAATGATACAGTAAATCAACAATATTTGAATCATTGTCATTATTATTTGATGAGGATGTTGATAACATTACGATGAGAGCGAATAATAGAATTTTTGAACAAATATGAATCGATTTTTAACGTATGCTGTAGGTTTAAAAGAAGAATAAGAACAATATTTTAAAATATCAACTCTTCTTTTATTTTCTGATTTACCTTCTCGTTAAAATTTTCTCTTCGTTCGAAAGGAAAAAAGTATACGTACGATATCTTAGATCAGGAGTCGCTCAGAAGACGATTCCAAGCGTTACTTTATCGATTCTAACCACTAGATTAGGAGAAAAACGCTAATTAATACAGTTCGATCAATTAAAAATACCGACCTGAGGATACGTTCACATCACGTTTTAGTGTAATACTATGAGAAGAAGTTTTAATGTGCTATTATAAATGAATACACAACATGAGTTGAAGTATCTAATATCACATATCAATACAACATAGAACAAACGCATTCAAAGAACAAAGCAGAAAAAGGAAAGGTAGCATATGCATTGCCAGAGTGAAATTCATGCTACATGCTGGGTCGAACAATATGGCATGTAAACGGTCATCTACGGCTAAATTACAGTAATTTTCGCCTAGAAAACAGTAGCCGTATATGGTATGCCGCATTATAGTTCAATGTTCGATCATGGTACTGCGTAAAGATTTACTTCAATGACTATATTGATTAATGGAAAGTATTTATGACTAACAAATAAATCTGCTCTCTAGATTTATTTCAATAACAGAGTCAATGGTAAGTATTTAGTAAAAGAAGGGAGCGTCGATAAGCGATCAAATCGGCTCTGTTGAGAAATTCACAATTTCTTCCATGTAAAAGTCTCATGCAAGATGTTCAAAAGTGATTACTAGTAGAATTAGTCCTGTTGCACTTGTTTGGACTGCACCCAGATCGCTAGAAATAGTTCATGACTCTCATATGTATACCATATTCGACCGAAGATGATATCAGCTACATTCATTTATTAATCCCAATGATCAATTAGATCAATTTTCATAGGCTTTGATAGGGCTTGAGAGTATGGGTGTGAGTGAAAAGAGCATCATCACCCACATCTACACCCACCCGATGGAAGATTCTGAGCGGATTTGATATGATCCAAGAGTCAGATTGAATGACCTGAGTTTTACAGAGTGAATGAAAAATAATAAAAACTTTGTCTACAAAGAAATTGAACAAGTACGATTTTGCAAGAAAGATTATTCGATTGAAACATATTTTTTGAAAATACAGAATTATTTTAATATTATTCATAATTTTCTTAGAATTCTCTGTCAACAATATCTCGGTCGATAGAAAAAACAATTTTACGGACTCTTATGAGACGAACGTTTTTGTTTTTTGTGTAAAAGAGTCAAGTGAGTAAACGAAGCAAAGGTACTAAAACGAGTAAATTATATAATTTATTAGACTGGAATAGCTCTAATCTCTTGTGGACTTATGAAAAAGTCTCATATTCCTTGATTTTCAACTGGACAATAGAGTATATGACAACCTAACAGTGATTCTTTACTAATGAGTAACGTAATTCCACTTTTATTTACGACCCAATTCCTTAGTGCACTATGATAACATTAAAAGAGACAAATAGTTTTTTTTTTATAAATCTTGTAATTATAATGTTTTGATGGAAATAATTGATCAACTTAAGTTGGTTTGTCTTTAACAACTTCCAATACTAAGCGAATCCATATGACCTTTGCATTTGAATTATCATTAAAACGATGATATGCGTCATCTGCATGCTGCCAATCACTCGAACACGATTGATTATATTCGTTAACACCTGGAAATTTCCACCAGCAATTATTAAAAGCAACATTGTTTGGTTCAACATATTGCGAACACATTGGATATTTTGGTGTTGTTATTGTATTAGAAGCAGCTGAAAAAAGAGAAGCCGGTACACGAGTAGTGATCCGTTGAATGCTGAGATCAAATTTTCCGTAACCAATTGACATTATAACAGCTTGACCGTAAGCTACACATGCCTTCCAAACATAAACCATGGTTTGCTCTCCACCAAGCTGGGGCATTTGTTCCCCAATTCTGTCTTTGTAAATTTGCACCATTGCTCATATCAACAATTTTTAAGCCACCCATATCAGTATTGTAATGTAACTTTAATGTTTACTCGATTCTGTTTTCCTTTTTAATATTGCACAACTTTCTAGAAAAAAAAATAATCGTTGTACATTCACATGAATCTTCTTTCTAAGATGCACTGAATGCGAATAGAAAAGAGTTTGAGAAAAACGAAACTTCATTCCGTCTAACAGTAGTATTAAACATTTTTCGTTTTGCTATTTGGTTGATAAACTTATACTAAGTAGATCTATTCTATCTGATGGTTTTTCAGCACACTCTCTGCTCCAAAAATCACCATTCATTAGCTGAGAAAAATTAAGAAGCACTTCACTGATGGCCATGTTCATACATTATAAAGACTTACCGAACTAGATAGTATCGATACGTTCAGAGTGCAATTTCGTGTTACTCTCAAGATATTTTGTTTTGGAAAAGAGAATGAATGTGTGATAGAGCAACTAACTTACCTATGATTTATGCTACGAACGAATACGTATAATGAAGAATATATGCAGCACGAACGAAGAATTGAAGTCAGAATAAGGTCAAAAGGGCATAGATAGAGAGAAAAGAATAACCAATACGTGTATCCGACGGATGTTCTCGGTCACGGCTATAACGGGCAGTGGTGAACAAAGGCTTTCACAAATGAAAGAAAGTCTTTATTGAAATCGTATCAGTCTTATAACCTGTTATTTGTAGAAGAGGCAAGAACTTATAGAATTATTGTGTCTAGTAAGATATATTTTTCCAACTTACAGTTTTCTTCTTCGAACAAAAGAAATCATAAAGACACACAATTCTTATCTCATCTTCTTTGTCGGCATAAAACTGTGTTGAGAAATGTAAAAAGAAATTTTCTAATATTACTTAGAAAAGAACAGCAGTTAAATGTATTTATTAAATGTTCTTCAATAATACTAGAATTTATTTAAGTGATATTTTGACAACTATATCAGTGTCATCATCAGACTAGAGTTTTTGTTCTTGATACATTTGATCTGATATTCAATCTATTCGACCTAAATATGAATCTATTTGTTTCTTCTGATGTATATAATAAAAGTTCAAACATTTTGGTAATATAGAAATTATTTGACTATTAATCTCTCCTTTTTGGACTGAGAGTAAGCTTGAATGAGGATTCTATCAGAAACTTATAGGCGCGTTTGAATTTAGTCCATTTTCTGCGACGTGATTGTGATCTATAGTGACCGAATTCTTCGAGGTTTCGATAGAGATCTGTTGAATTTGATCGGTGTCAGATAGCAGATTTGTTTGTGATAAAAAGGAAGATTCCCGTGAATTCGATTGGACACAGTTATGAGATTTGAATGATATCGACAGAATTTTTTCTGGCGGAATTTGATTCTAAAATCAGGCTCCGATCTCGATGCAAGCGGATCTTGACCGTCGAATCTTTTAGTTTTCATGTTTTTTCAATTGAAAGATTTGGATGTATCCGATATGATTCAACAGTTTCAGCAAGTTCCTAATATTTATTTTCTTTTCGAATGACACATGACAATTTCTAACAATTTCTCTTTTCATAGGTACGAGCTATAGTACTGAATGAGGATGAGCATGAGTATGATAGTTGAATTTTTAGTATCGACAAATCAACGCAATTCGAAATGCCACCTGAAAAAGCTTTTTTTTTATTAGAAGATTATTATGACGAATTCTGCTTTCATAAATGATGGTCAAAAAGCTGGAGCGATTTCAAGAATGAACAGTTGGATATATGCAAAGTTATTTGAGATTAGAAAAACTTTCTGATGGTTGAGCGACAATCGAGCATTTATTTAGTACATATTCACCAATATTGATTTTGTCAACAATAACCTTTTGGTCGTGGATAGCTTCAATCTCATGAGGTTCGAGATGGTGATTCCATATGCTGACATCTCCGACTTCACCTAACCAAAAATTTAGTCCGAACGATTTGGGTCCGATATGTAAAGTATGAGATAGTTGCATTTTTTCGTCTTTCCAATTTTTAATCATCTCGTCAGTGACTAAATGTCTTTTAAAAATAGTTAAAGTGTCCGAATATTCGCTCATATCGACTGTACTCTAAAGTGCTTGCTTGAAACGAGAGACTAGTGCCAGCAAGTGAAACAATTTATTTCTTTCTAAATGCTCACCTGCACATTCGAACTGAACAAGAGCTGGCGAAATAATAACTTGATTCTCTGCTATATAATAGTTGCTGTGTCCCAGATGAAGCCAGTGATTATTATCAGCTTTCCATGCTCCTATTGCGGTACGATGACCATATGCTACACGACTGGTACGCAGCCAGACTGAAACACAAAAATGATCGGTTTGATAAGCAGAAATATCATGTACGGGAATATGAATTGATGATCGATCATCAAAGCTAGCATATGATCCAAGAAAACAAATGTCTTGTCGTACTTGATCTGTGAATGTATAACGATCCTTCATAATGCCGGACGAGTCATGACCAAGATTGTTTGCATGCTCGAATTTCCAGTGACCGATAAGATGTCGTCGAGTGATTTCTCGAAATCGATGTTGCTGAAACCACGCATCTAAAATAATCGATCTCCATCGTCGACAAGTACATGAAACGAGTAGAAGTTCTTTTATAGAATCAATGTAACAGAAAATACGAACTAAAATTTCAGAAGGTAAATCAGTCAGTTGTAGATTCAAAGTCGCCATTCAGTAGCTTATGTATAAAAATGAATAAGAAGAAACGGCAAGAATAAAAAAAAAAAAAACAAACAGGTATGATAGTTGGATCAAAATATACATATTTTTCCATGTGCTTGTAACAAATAAGAGAACAGAAAAGAGAAAAACTCTGCTCACTGAAGGTTAATGTGACTATGAGAAAAGAAATAAAAAGAAACAAAACCTTGCACGCGCGCATAGTGATGAGCCAAAACATCTGAGTAGTTGGCTTGTTCGAGTTCGAAAATCCATGAAATTTTTGATATGATAAGTTAGCTTTAACGAAAGACAAACAGAAAAGAAAAAGAAACATTCACATTGACGAGGGTAAAAGAGTTTGGGCTGTTGGCTTATTATTGTCGGGATATTGCACATTTTTACGGTATTGTTGAGCACAATGTCGTAGTCCCCTACAAGAACACCACGAAACTGAGTGTCGAATTTCAACTAGAAACTTGGCACAGAGGCAGACATTAACGTAAGTAGTTTATTGTGAAAGTTTCAGATCTTTTGTTATTCCTATCCTAAAATAGAGCTATAGTTAAAGTATGTTTTTTTTACATCGCTCATACATACATCAACAGATTCCGATGTTCTTATTTCAGAATCAGAGCAATCAACAAATCTCAAACTTTTATAATAAACTATTCTCATTAAGACCTATCTCTATGCATAGTTTCAAGTTGAAGTTCGAAACTCAGTTTTCCTGGTGTTCCTGAGGGACATCACGGCATGGTGCTAAAATGTATTGTAAAAATGTAGTATCTCGACAGCAACAAAGCTAACAGTTCAAACTTTTTAAAAGTATTCATAGCTCATTGAGACCTGCATGATATACACATAGACTCAACTCAAAAGCGATTTATCACTTAGGGACATTCTCTCGTGAGATCTTGTCTACCACGTAAAGCTTTTCTCCTTTGATATTTAACCAAGTGCTACCATTCATACGTTGATTGTTGCATACTTTCTCTCTTACGTAACCATATGCACAACATTATTCGATCTGTTCAAACCCAATCTTCATTTTCTATCGCCAGTTTATCAAAATTAACTCCATCGGGAATACAAGAAAGAAAGATCATCGGATCGATTGATTTGTATTTTATTTACGAAAAAGAGGTCTACTGGAATTTTTTTTGTTTATCAAGAAAGAGTCAAATGCTCAATAATTTGAAAAATCATGAATAGAGACATCAATGATGTTTTAATGCCTTTTTACTTTTTGTAACATCAGCCATGGGCTGATGTCAAATAATATTTCATAGGCACGAATGCTCTCTCTCTCTTCGTTGTTTTTCTTTGAAAGACGATATATTGGTAGCACGATATATTTGAGCAAATACCTTCATACGGACGGAATAATTTTACAAAGCAAAAACTCAATACTCAGGTGAAGCGAAGTCGAATTAAAAAGTCTTAGTAATCACGCTATGGCATTTTTCGTCCTACAGTAAAGAAAACCTTTTAACTACTGCTGTAACAATGGTCATGAATAGGAGAACAAGTATAAATCATTTTTATTGATCATTATAAAATTAAAATAAATATTTGTTTTTTTTTTATTTAAATTGGAAATTAGTATTAAAATATGTTAAATAAGGTATAAAATATGATAAGAATATTGATAAGCAATAAGAATTTGTTAAGATAAATTTTTAATCATGATGAAAGAACTTAAAAACACATAACCAAACGATAAATGCTAAGAATATGATAAAGATATTTTTCAGCGTGAAAAATGAATTCTTTTCTTGTTCATCAATCATCTGAGAAGGTAATTGAATTTGATCAGAACTTTGATGAGTTTCAATTTTTAATCCTGGAAAAGCATCCGATACAAATTGCGCAGCTTTAATAAGTTGTTCTTCATTTGGACGATAAGTTCCTGAATTATTAGATAAATGTAAAGCTACCCCATCTTGTTCATGTACCATCCAAGCTTCTCCAGCAAAACGTACATCATCATCATAACCAGATATAAGTACATGTTTTGACAATAACCAATCAACTAATTTCGAATTTAAAATGGGATTATGATGCATACCTATTAAATGATTCCCTGTTATGACAATATTATATGGATGTGGATCTTTTGCTGTATGAATACTCATCATTGATGCCAATGATCCAGAGGAAAATTCTCCATGATCATCCCAAAGTGATGCCATATTTTTTCGTATTGTTATAACAACAGGTCGAGAAAAAAGAAAAGATTTTTTTATTCTTGTAAATAAATCAGGATTTTTCGATGGAAAAGCTTGTAAAGTTTGTGGAAGATAATCACTAATATCAATTTTTTCTGTATTTGGAATCACTCGAAATAAAGTGTGAGATCCCCAAATTTTTCTTACAATAGCTCCAATTCTTCCCGGACGAGATATTTGTAAACGTGTTAATGAAGGTACATTTGATATAACAATAGGATTCATTGGAATATCATTTGCTACAATTAATGGTGCTCGAGTTTTATCTTTCGATGTTGAACATTCATTATAAATTTTTTTAAAAGTTCTTCCTATACTTGTTAATTCTTTTTTTCTAACTTGATGAAAATGTTCTTCAAGTGTTGATTGAGTTGTTCGAATAAAATCTAAAGTTAATGGTTTTCCTTTGAATTCTAAACCATATTCATATATTTGTTGAAATAAAGCTCGAGCACCAAAATGATTTCGTAAATCAGCTCCACTACTTGTAAATCCTGCTGAATTTAAAACACATGCACTTGCATATGCACACGATACATGCCGTTGATTTGAATGTTTTTTCATTGATTGACGAATTATTTCTGTAATATTTTCAGGTAAATCTCGAAGTCGAATAAGAAAACCGGATTGAACTCGACCTTTCGTTGGAATAATTGCACTAAGTTGACGCCAAAACATAAAAGCGGCAAATTTATCATAACCATCCTTAGGTTCATTTGGAATTGTTAAATAAACATTTGGTAAACCAAATCCAATAAATGTTTCATTTTTATTATCAAATAGTTTATCTAAGGAAATTAATTTTAAATTTTCATATTCGGTTTCTTCAAGACCATTTCGTAATAAATTATGTTCATTATTGTAATGTGTATCAATTATTAATCGAGTTTTTCGATGAAAAAGTGGTTCTGGTCGAATAACTGCACCTGATCGAATTCCTTTTAATGGAGAATTATTTGTTTCTAATCTAATTTCTTCTTTAATATCACACTCAGAAGTACATTCGTCATTGTCATTTCTATCGCCGTCTGATGAAATATTTTTATCCATCAATGTCTAAAATTATTTTATAAATCAAATAAATCTATAGTGATCATTTTATCTAAAATAGAGAACAATCCGATCACTTTTTAGACTAAATATATCAAAAGTACTATTCATGTACTTACTCATAAGTCGTTACTGGCCTTGATAAATGTCATGACCGTGTTTATCGAGTTTCCTTTTCTTTCATTCTGTTGTATTGCTCGCAAAATGGCGATACAAATTTTCTCTCCTATGAGTGACGTGCAATAACGTCAGAATGACAAAAAAAAAGTGACTAATTGGAAGTAAGTGACTACTATATTTGTCACTCCTACTTTGCAGAGACGCAGAATCTATCCGTACGCTGCCAGAAAAAAAACGACTCTCTTAGAGAAATTCTAGAAAAATAAAAGAGGAAAAGAAAGGTTGAAATAAAGTAGAAAACGGAGTAGATCATTTAGTGAAGAAATTTTCCAAAGAAAAAATTCAAATTTCTTTAAAGGAGAAAGCCAGATTTTCTTTAAGGCCTCTCTTGTCAAAAATTTACTTTCGCTCCAGAATAATCGATCTTGTTGAAATTTTCAGAAGATATATATCCAGGTATAGAACCCTTATGGTAAAAATTTCAGCTCAAAATAGCGAGCTCTTCAAGAGTTATTCTCAGATTACGGACCCAAAAGTAGGTGTCAGTGCGTCCCATATTTCTTTCCCAAATTTGATGATGCAGAACTCAGGTTAGTGCCAAAATGTAGCTAAAAAGTGCCACTGCGACTTAACAGAGGTTGATTTTTAAAATTTTCTTTTAATGTTTGGTGTCAGCTTTTCTCAAAAAATAAGAAAGATGTGAAAAAAACGGCTCTGCTAGGTTGTGAAGTATATTTCTCTCTTCAATTTAAGACTATTCTCAGCTTTCTAGTATGTAAAATGGCTGAGAAATCTAGGACGCACAAACGAAAAAAACGGGGTACTTCTTCATTTTAATCACAGCGCTCCCACCCGCAACGTTGTGTTGTGTGTATGAATCACACCAACCAGTGTGCAGATGTGATTAAAGTGAAGAAGAATCAATTTGTCTTTTTACATATTTATCGAAAACACGAGTTTCTAATTGCACTGCAGCTCTCTTAATACATGTGTAAAGAAAAATATTTGTGTAAAAAGATACTGATTTGTAATTCTGACGAGATGATTGGGCCATTACGTGAGCATCAGAAGAACAAGAAAAAGAGGACGCGAGATCTCGTTCGAAGTTTGACAACGTCTCTTATTTTCGTACACTTACTAGATTCTCAGTAGCGATAACTATGAAAAGTCAAAAAACAAAAATAATTAAGATTTTCAAAACCGTAATTGTTTTCTAGATGCAATGTTTGTATTAAAATCCGTGTACAACAATAAAAAAACATCAGAAATGAGATAAACTATAGTGTTTTAGAAAGGACATGATTAGGGCTATCCAATCACATACAAATCTCAAAATCGAATTTTCTGATGTGGAGGGAGGGCCTTAAGTGTCAATCCAATATTTGTAAAAAAGAAATTCAACCTTTCTGAAACCGTTCTTATGTATCTTCGTGAAAAATATTGTATCGCTGTGATTAGAGCACAAAGCACTCATTGATGAGATGCAAATTCATATTAACACACAACCTATTCACAAATTATAATAATGTTTGGAACAGTCAGTCGAAATTGGAAGATGAATGGTGGTTCTTCTACAAGAAATCTGAACAGTATTTACCATGGAAGTTGATAAAGACTGAATCGTTGGTCATCAGCGAATTTAGATTTTCATCCGTGCTGCGAGGAAGCTTCGGCAAATTCTACACCTTCCGCCCACTTTGATCTATTCTGACAAATCCTATCTTCCTACACAACAGAAGAATTTGAGGTAATGGATAAAGAGTTTTTTTTTGTTAAATATAACATGTGATAATCAAATGAAATCAATATTGAAAATTTTTTTTATAGTTTAAAATGCGTTTCTATTATGATTTCAATCGGTGGATAAAAATATCGACTAGAAAACTATCAAATTCAGACAAATTATATACCGAACATAAAATCAGCGAACAAAAGTAATAAAATATTTTTTAAACTCGCATTCGAAAAACCTCACACCTAACTAGTATGAGCCGATGAAACTTCGATGTTCAATAACTATTAAAACTAGAAGGCAGTTTCCGTAGACCCTTGTTCAATCATTCTTACCGATTTGGCTGATACTTTTTCACAGTAAGTAGACCTAGTCAAGTTAGGTAGAAACTAGCTCAAACGGATGAGCTGTTCTGGAAATATA